TCTGTCCCCTTCTTCGTTTCTTTTAAGTTCGTTTTCTCTAATTCACCGTTAAAGAATGCTAAAATAGTTTTTAAATATTTAATTTAAATTGTTGAAAACCATAGTTTTATGTAATTTCTGTACATTTTTAATTTTTTTTTTCAAGACTAGTCATTACTTATAAAACTCTCATTTTTAAGGCTATGACATAAGTGACACTATTTTTTGAAGTTGATATTCTTTATTTAAAACATTTAAATTCCAAAATTTACTTCATTGTAAGAAAATCACTAATATGCCTAATTACTCGTTTACTTAATAATTCATCTTATGTAATATAAATTTTTTTTTCAATTTTCATGCAAGAACAATCTATCTAGATCAAAAATCCCGGGTATTATTTCCTTTAATTTCAGGATAACATAACTTGCTAGAATATAAAATTCACTGAGTTTTCTCTATCCTAAGCGAATAAAAAAAGCAAAGCATACAAAAAAAGATAAATTATAAAAAAAATACACTATATTAATATGAATGCCAACTTAAGTTGGTACCGTATAAAGACATCTGAGTTAATCATCAGGAGCCTAGAGGTTTAAAAAAAACATTACATGTCTTGACTAATTCCCTGTACTATCTAAATTAATTGAATAATCCAATTACTCAGAATTATAATTTATTTTTGACTAATGAATTATTAATCTTTTATTAACGCTATTATGCTTTTGATAGTATTGAAGTGATATTAATATAATCATAATGTTATATTAATTCTATTTTTAGATAAGTGTTTTCCCTACTAATTAAATTACTTACGCTTTATAATTTTCTCAAAAGTATTTCACAATTGAATCCAATTATTTTAAATATTAATTAATGTCATTTTGTATTCTTTATATATTTTCACTTATTTGTAAGGTTACTTCACAAAAAAATTCATTAAATATTCAATAAGGAATTTTCAAAGTTATAATTAAAAATTATGTTTACACGTTATTCTGTAAACTGTTATCAAATTATTATTCAATTTTACCTTACATATTATAATTGCTTCTATGATTTAGTTGTGCTTGTGTGATCATACATGTTTTTAAATTAAACTAACGTGTACTTATTTAATTTCTAATAGTTCAAAAAGATTAGATAAACATAATGAAACATTTGTTATGAATATAAAGTTTTATCAAACTGATATCGCTTCTTCTAATAAATATTAATCCTTGGCACTGCTATATGCATTGATATAATTTTTAAAAGTTAGCCTAATGTTTATTAAGTTAAAATCTAAGTCGCGATGAGTTTAATTTGGGCACAAATATTTACTTGTGAAATATAAACTCATCGCAAATTAATGTGTGTTTTACGATTATCTTAAAGATCTAAAATAAACAGACCGGAAGTAACGTTTGCCAGTGTTTGGATAATAAAAAAGTATGTTTAAAATTCCTGGCTTTATGTAAATATTTTAAATAGATAAAAGTACTTTAATAAGCAATATTTTATGATATTCCTTTATTTACCATTTTACCATGTAATTATCATTACTTACTATGAAGTCCTTTATGCATCGTTAATAATGCTTGCTATTTATTTTACCTTAATAAAGAGTTATTCCATTAACTAAAATATTAATATTTTAAGACATTTTCCAATACTTATTTAAGTCAATTCGCTTTGTAAATTTCCTTTTGAAATGTTATTATAGTTTGTATAAGTTTCTTGTAAGTTTGTTTAATAAAAGTTTATAAAATATAAACTGTCATAATATAAATAAATTTCGTTAATAAAATATTAAACTTTTTTTCACAAAATTAAATAAAGATATAAGTGAATATCACATTGGATTTGTACATAGTAAATATCAACTTAAAATTATTATCGAAATATTTTTCGTTTAATATCGCACTAAATACGTATATATTCGATTTTCATAAATGTTATTAATATGCTTGAAAAAACGTTAAGTACAGAAACGTGTTCTACGACGGAAAAAATTGAGAAACATATTGAAAAATTTTTTATATATTGAAAATGTAATATTTTACCTAACAAATTATCTAAAAGTTCTAAAGTATTTATTTTTTTCATTTTAAGTACATTTTGAAGAAGAACATGCAGAAAGTTTTTCAAGCTTTCTGTTAAGTACTTTGATATGAAAGATAAAACATCTCGAAGCTATAATTTATAAGAAATCAATATAGATTGTGAATATATATTTCTCTTATTAATCAAAAAGGAAAAAAATATATACTAATTGAACTATTTATTTAATTTAATATATTAAGAATATAGAACATTTAATAACGTCTTTAAAAAATTGCTAAATTTATTAGAAAATAACAATTTAGCAATTACCTAACAATCTCACATATTATAATCCCATTAATATAAAAAACTCTGTAAATATACTAAAAAATATATGATTAATATATATATTAATTTAATTATTATTAATATACTTATTGCAGAATAGTTGCTGAACGCGATCGTAAAATATCCCATTTACTTTATACAAAAATCAATTAATATAGCAGGTACTACGACAAATATTACAATCATATAACTCACTGTCCAATTTATACATGGTGTACTTATTCATAGTAGGACGATCACATGAATTTTGTCGTTAACTAATTTATCATCATATTTGTTAATTTATCATCATATTTGTCATTATTTGGTTAAGTACTTTGCGATGAAGTATAGAGCTTGTTGAAGCTGTAATTTATAAGACATCATTACAGATTGTGTATATATAATTCCCTTATTAATCAAAAAGGAAAATAAATACACTAACGAACTATTTATTTAATTTAATATCTTTTGGATAGATAAATTCAATAAGGCTGTCTTAAAAAATAGTTTATCTTATTGGAAAATAAGAATTTACATTTCTCAAATTATAATCATATGAATATAAAAAAATGTTTATATACTAAATAATATATGACTCTATTATTTATTATTAGTTTACTTTTATTGCAGAAGAGTTGATTAACATGATCGTAAATATCACATTTTTTTTATACAAAAAAACTAATGTAACTGGATTGGTTTGCCGCTCTACGGTCATCTTGTGCACACTTCAGGCTAAACAGCCCGGGACCTACGGTTTAAAGTGGATTCCGAACCACTACAAACATCCATGGCACTGTCGGGACTCCAACCCGAAACCTGTAGTACCGAGCGCCAGAGCGCTAGCCACTCGGCCATTCAGGCCCTAATATAACTGGAAGCAGATGCCACGACAAATATTGTAATCATATAACTCGCTGTCCAATCTATACATGGTGCACCTATTCATAGCAAGATGATTTCATCAATTTTGTCGGTAGCTAAGTATATTTATCATCAACCAATTATTTTATTACAAGTGACATCAAACACAATTCGATATTAGATAAAAATAATTTGATGTTAGATTCTTCGATTAGAATTTGTTGAATAAGGTTTTTTAACTCTCCTAACAAAATTTTCTACATAAATATGTAAGAAATTTAGACACAGTTGAAATACAATTATGTCGTAACTGCAACTAAATAATAAAAAAAATCATCCATATTTGATAAGTAAAGATGACCCAGTGTAATAGAAAACATTCTTGCTTATTACTTATTTAAAATTACATAAATAATCTTAGGATAACGAAAATATACTAACTATTATATATTTTAACATAAGTTGTATTTGTTATTCTTTTCTTAACTGAAGACAGTTTTTATTAAAATATCGATATATCAAATAAGTACATAATTCAAATTGGAAATGAATTTTGGGTTGATATCGAAGAGCAAAAACAGCTTTCATTCTTAATAATTCAGAATTTGCTTGAAGTTGTTTTCATATAAATAAATAATAATATAATTTTATTTTGATTATCGATTTTAAGATATGGAACAATATTAATGAACTGGCACATTTATTTGGTATGTTCCAGTCATTATTTGAGAATGAATTCCTTTCTAATTGTTCACACAATTCTAGAAACGAAAACTACATTCAACAGCAGTAATTTAAAAAAATAAAAAAATGTAAAACCTTTCGAAACAATTGTACTTGCCCAAAAACTTTTTTAATTTGCAAGATCTTTCAGCAAAGAAGTATAAAAATTATTATTTTTTTTTGCATTAGTATTTTAAATATATCTTTTCATTACGAACAGAAAAAATAATAAAATGCAAATAGTTATTGTTTTAAATAGTAATAATGAAAATAATTGTGTTAATTTTAAATAATTATATTATAGAAGTTTCAAATAAATAAAAAATTTCAGCGGCCTAAACAATTGGCATGCACTATAAAAATCTCATATAAGTTTTACCAATGTGCAGAACATTCAAAAACATGTTTATCAGATAAAGAACGACCAAGTGTATCTGTAATATTTTTAATTTAGCTATTTTGCATATAATTTTTGACTATCACTTTATTAGACGAAAAATATAGCATTTTTTTTAAATATTTTTTTTTTCTAATGCAGCTTGCAAACACAGACAGCTTGGTATTTGGATGCCTCAAGGCAAGTGCTGCAGAGACGTACTCACTTTGGGGCGCCAGGGGGTCTTTTTCACCAGGGGGCGCGTGTAACTTGAAGATAACCTATGGACGCGGAGTAACAATGCCCCCGCAACGCTCTACAATCCTACTAGGACCGGGACCTACGGGTTAAAGTGGATCCCGAACCACTACAAACACCCATGGCACCGCCGGGACTCGAACCGGAAACCTGTAGTACCGAGCGCTAGCCACTCGGCCATTCAGGCCCCTTTTTTATAATGTATGGTATCCATTATTTAAACGCTTGTTATTCCATAAAAGTGTACATAATACGAAATAAAAGACTAAAAATATACCCAAGTTGGTGATGGAATTGCCGTTATGTCCGGAAATATTGAAGGATGGATCTTCGCAAAGCTTCTGACAGTCTCGTGGAAAGCCCGCGCCACCAATAAATTTGATAATAACCTAGCGAAAGAGATGAGAGCTATTGAGAAAGCCTATAATCATTTGTTACTTTTTCTTCCTCAGTAGTATAGTGGTAAGTATCCCCGCCTGTCAAGTGGGAGACCGAGGTTTGGTTCCCCGCCGGAGAGGACAATTTTTAGCCAACGGCCGTACCATGCTGAATATACCGGTTCTCGTTAGATCACCGAAGTCAAGCATCAATGGGCGCGGTCAGTACTTGGGTGGGTGACCACCTGGGAATACCGCGTGCCGTTGGCATTCACAAATTTGGGACTTGAATGGCCGAGTGTTGCCTTTTTGCTGACAGATTGTTATGAGCGTTTCAAAAATTTTGTGTGATATTTTAAACAAACATAACTTTAATTATTTTTTATTTCAAAGCAATTTTGTATTGTATCCTTTTTCACTTATTTATTCGTCCCATCAAAGATTTTTCATTTTGCCAATTACATCCTCATTGAAAGACAAAAATATTGGCAGCTGTTATATGCCAACAGCTGGCGACATGTTTTACAACTCATATTGACTGGATATTTCCTGGATCCACCTGGGAACACCGCGTGCCTTTGGCATTCACACATTTGGGAATTGAATGGCCGAGTGTCTAGCGCTCTGGTGCTCGGTGCCACAGGTTTCGGGTTCGTATCCCGACGGTGCCATGGATATTTGTAGTGGTTCGGAATCCACTTTAAGCCGTAGGTCCCGGTCTCCCATGACTGTAAGAGCGTCACGGAGCCAAAATCAGACTACGGATGCTCCATACACAGAAGCTGCTCTACCTACGGATGCTCCATCACAACAGAAGCTGCTTCCTTCCCCTTCAATCATGAGTACGTATGGCCTCGTGGGCTTGGCTAGCCAAGTGGGATAAGAAACAACAACAAAACACATGTATAGAAAGACTTATAGTCACCTGTCAGAAAAATGAGTTGATGCATAACTTATGTATTTATCGTTTTGATCTATTTATATATGAGCTGTATTTATCGTTTTGATCTATTTATATATGAGCTGTATTTATCGTTTTGATCTATTTATATATGATCTGTCAATACTATATTGTTGGCATGAGTTTGTCGTATACTAATAGTCTTTATTTAAACTCTATTTCTTCTGAAATAAACCTTTCTTGAACTGTGTTTAATAGAATCTTATTGAATTTGTCATTAAAATTTACATATACAATAACAAAAGTAAGTAATATATTGCATTAAATTCTACAATATTTCTGATTTATTTTTCTGAAACAGTTATTAAATTCAATACTTTCTCTTGTAATAACTACACAAATGAAAGCACATTATTACTTTGTACATAAATACTGCTGATTTCTTTCTTTTGTTACGTTGTCTGTTTCTAATGGCTCTGGCCTACCAAAATATGTAATCGCGAATTTTTGTTTTCCTTAGTCCGTATTCCTTATTCCCATTTAGCTTCTATTAGTTCTTTTGTATCTGTAAGCGGTATTCTTTTGTTTTTTTTCCTTAGCCATATTTTTTTACCGCTACCTTATATAAATAAAGATGATTATTTCTTATTGATTTATTTGACAGTTGTTTTTGGGAACTGTCACCTCCTATAGAAAAATGTGTGAGACGGTTTTATAACATTGCTATAATTCTGACGTGATAAATTTCACTATCACCAAATATTGTCATGACTTATTAAAAACTTTCATTTGTTTTAAAGTTATATTTCCAAATTTATAATTATTATGCTTAAAAATATATTACCTAATCTATATTTCATATTTCAATATTAACTTAATAAACTTTTTAATCTTTGTATTTTTATTGGATTATTTTAAAATCATAAGATGCTTTATGATTTTAATTGTATTACAGTTAAATTAATAGCAATTGATTGCAACTGTAAATATAAATTAATCAATTCTAATTGCAATTAATTATTAATTAATTAATTAATTATAATTATAAATTAATTATAATTTCAGAATTTGAGACAATTAACTTTCACAGCAACTGCATATAGAATCTATTTATGTATTATTTATTATGTGATTTATTATTTTTACAAGGCGTATAGCAATAAATACAGCTGTAAGCAATTTCTACTTCTAATACCTTAACATTGAACATTGGAAGTTATGGACTTTATTTTGAAAACTATGGCAGACAGGAAAAATGCGAACTACAAAAATGCACTGTGCTATCGTTTTAGTATAAAATGGGCTCCTATATTAATGGATAATTTATTCTGTTAAAATCCGCACTACAGTATACTATGAGGAAATGAACAGATATCAGTTTTACACTTATCATCATGTTCTCGCGAGAGCAAGAGAAAATAAAAATATATTAAATTCAAAATGTTTCAAAAACGCAACTTATCTCCAAACATATTACTTCTTTAACTTTTTTTAAATAAAAAAAAAACTAGAATTGTAATCGAAAGGAAAAATTTCACTTTACAGACATTTATAATTTAACAAAACAATGATTATGCATTTACTTTTTTACCCTGTTGGATTGGTTTCGATAATATAATTTATAAATCTCTTTTTCGTTTCTCTTAAGTTAAATTCTGAATGAAAGCTGCCTGTCAAAAGAACAGATGAGTAACGAGGAAGGCTGTGAAATTTTAGGACATACTTTTGTTTTAAACAATGCCAAATAAGCATTGCTTTGAAAGTTTAAAATGTAAATATTCGGATTTTAAACAATCTTTTGCAGTTTTCATGCATTTGCGTATGCAATATCAATAAAATTCGAAAACATTGACTTTAATCATTCTTTGCCTTTTATATGCATTATAAAAAAATTAAAACACATTTGCAGAGCATGCATGCATGTCATGCATATATTTATTGTACTTTTCTATAAACCCTAATCATAAAAAAAACTTTCAATTCCTTAGTGATTGAGGTTTCCTTTTCTTTTTTTCAGAACCTCTAAATGGCATAGTAGAACTCCTAGAAACAAAGCATTAAAGTAAAATGCATCTTAGGCTTCTGAATTCCATAGAAAGAATGCTAGTAGCCATAGCGGCAGAATTATAGTTCTATCAAACTGTTGTAATTCCAAATGTTTGGTCAGAGACGGTTTTATATGCTTCTATACTTTATTTTAACTTCTGTTCTTCATTGTATTTTTTTAAAATAATTATTAAAAAAAAATGAAAATCATATTAGAGAATTTTTTTTAAATTATTATTTTCACAATATCACTGTTTAATCTGTTGATTAGAAGCTCAGAAAAAATAATTTGACGATATACAATAGCCATTGTAATTATGCCACTGATGACTTCGCTATTGTTTAATTAAAATAATTAAATATCCCCACTAATAAACCAAATTTCCATAATACAATTAAACTAATATCAACCAAAAATGTTTTAATTAAAATATCACTTACCGACATGATCCGTAGTGCCCCACTCCGCCATATCCCTCCACACAAGTTTAATTTAAATTAAACTAAATTATACAGCTGCATTATATTCTGTAATACTTTATAAAATCAGACATCAATTAAGCATCGTTACATTATATATATACACTCAAGAGCCAAAACATTATAACCACCTGTCAATAACGAGTTGGCCCATATTTGGCGCGCAACATAGCTTCAACCCGCCTTGGCATGAATTAATACCACCACTTAATACCAGTTAAATACCGCTTCCACCTGATCACGTGCCTTCAACGTCATCCTGGTGAGTTCATTGCAAAATGTAGGGGTGGTCATAATGTTTTGGCTCTTGAGTGTATATGTATATAGATTAATTTGTACTATATATGTACCAGACATACTATATACCATATACCATAAAAACCATATAACTATATTACCAGACATATTTATACCAGATTAAACGAAAAAATATTAGTTACAAAAGAATAATACCGTCAAGTAATAAAGGGGACACTTGAGGTTAAAACAGTTAATTCAAACATCATTTCATTAAATTAGATATCTATGGGTATGTGCGTGTGATTATGAATGTTACAATCTACTAGACAATTCATTCTATGCAATATCAATCAGTAGGCATCAACTTAATTTCTTTCACTCTATATATAAATTATTTATAATCAATCTATAATTCTTTCTTTCAACAAATTTATTACAAGGAAAATTTGTTTTTAACAAACTCACATTTTCTCACTTACGACAATTCTTATTCATTCAGTCCATTGATGATATCTCGCAGTGAAAGTTCTCTAGACTTTCAACAGGCTAGTGAATCCTTTGTAGATGATAACCTTGAAGGGACATCGAGAGAACAGATTGGTCAAGAGGCATATGGTGGCAGAAGAGTACTAGTCTCCTTTTGTCCATCCGAACTGTATCTTCTACAAATAATTCACTGTCCGATTGAAAGCAGAGCACAATTACTGATACATATCATCAACTATAACTACTAGATTTCTGTAGAGCCTGAATGGTCTAGTGGCTAGCATTGTGGCGCTCGGTACCACAAGTTTCGGGTTCGAGTCCAGGCGGTGCTATGGATGTTTGTAGTGGTTCGGAATCCACTTTAAGCCGTAGCAAAAAATCAGACTTCTACCTAAGGGTGCTCCATCACAACATAAGCTGCCCCTTTCCCTCCATACATGAGTAGATCACTCATGGATTGCCCGTCCCTCGCTGCAGTACATTGAGGATTTGTCACAAATACAAACAAACTAGTTTTCTGTTCTTACCA